TGCAGATATGATGTTATGGAGATCGAAAGTGATGGTATGTTTTCTGTTAAATCTTGTTATAATATTTTCTTCCATGATCGTTGGAGATGGTCTTGCCTTAACATTGTTCAGATATGGAAATGGCCAATTCCTCATAAAGTCCAGGTCTTTATTTGGTTGGGAGCACAAGATAAAGTATTGACCATTGATAATTTAGTTAAAAGGGGTAAGATACTACCAAATGTTTGTTTGCTTTGCAAAGAAGATGGTGAATCGATTACGCAAATATTTACTTACTGCCTTGTTACGTTAAGATTTTGGCCTTGGCTGTTTGGAGTGGTAGGAGTTACTATGGCGCTCCCACAATTCGTGGTTGGGATTGTATCACAACTGGCTCTTTTGTTTTTGCCTAAGATTGGGAGTGTGATGTGGAAGATAGCAAAAGGTGTGATTCTTTGGGAGGCATGGAAGGAGAGAAATAGGAGGACTTTTGATGGGATGCCATTGCTTTTCGATAAGATTATTCATATTATCAAGATCTCTATTTGGTCTTAGCTCTCAATTACCAAGAAAGGCTGAGGAATTTCTAAGGTAGATGTTATGGTCAATCTTACTAATCCCTTTTCTATGGGTGTTAGTAGTTGTAGGACGAAAGGCTTGTGGCTTGCTCCTCCTATGGGCTGTCTAAAACTAAATTTTGATGGAAGTTCATTTGGTAACCCTAGTCAAGCTGGAATTGGTGGTGTTTTACATTATTGTTTTGGAAATATTGTATTTACATTTGCAAGCCAGATAGGTATTGCAACAGCCAATTTTGTTGAACTAAGTGCCTTGCTTAGGGGATTGAAAATTTTTCATTGCAAAAAATTTGGGTACTAGTTGCATGATCGAAGAGGATTTGTTGAATGTGATTAGATGGTGCAACAAGGAGTAGAGGGTCTTGTGGGAACTCCATTCTTTATGGTTACAGATTATGGATCCGATTGTGTCGTTATTGATCTCTTTTTCCCATGTCTTTAGTGAAGCAAATGGTGTAGCTGATGCTTTAGCTAAGGGTAGGGCTTCTTTATCATCCTTTGCTATTTCTGATGGTGTAATTTCCTTTTTGTAATCATTAATAAAAAGTAAGAACTTTGGTAAAAAAAATAAAAATATCGTTCACGAGC